ATCTCTTAATTCCTCATTTTTAATCTGGTTGTTTCCGCTTTATTCTAAAAATAACAAATAACATTACTGGACTGCGTCTTTTCTAGATTCATCTATGCCACAAATCTTGGCGTAATGCCGAAGACGTAATTATTTTAGAACCTAAACTTTGAGAACTGAAACATTTGCAATGTATACCAAAACCTTTCACTTTGATGAACTACCATATTGGATGAACGTTTACTTCGCTTGTGTCTGTGTTGCTGCGTGGACGGCATTTCATTTCGATATGTTCTCTTCCTATCACAATAGTATTCAAAAAGGCTATTTTTCTGAAAACAGGCACGATTAGAGTGCCCAGGAACTGTGACCATAAATGTGAATTTAAATAAAGATGGAATTAAAACCGCCTCGACTGCCAAGTTTCTTAGGCATTACAAATTCTACGTTCTAAGTATCAATTATTTACAACAGTAGTATTTCTGCTTTTCTGCACCTCAGTGTTCTGACTTCAGTACTTATAAATTTTCCTTTTATCACTTGCATGCGTTTCATTTTTTTTTCCTAGCTAGCTGAACATGTGAAAAAAGAAATAATTGAAACCTGTTTGTAAGTAAAAGTTTCAAAGTTTTTCGCATACATTTTTAGAGGATTTTAGCTTTAATATTTTAGTATCAAGTAGACATTTGGTATAACTTTTTCTTTGCTCCTCGAAATTTAATTGCAAATATAAGATCTTATTCTATTCAGCAAGGTATTGAAAAATGTAGTTCCTGGTTTTGTTAGCAAAAGGTCTGCAACAAAATATCTAGGATCTATATTTTCTTAAATATTAACCCTACAAATATACCTCAAATTACGGTAAGAAATTCAACAAAATTGTAACAAAATTTCAGTAACAAAATTTCCTTAAATTTTAAAATTATAGAAATTTATAAAAGTATTTAAGCAATCAGATGGTGGTTCCGAGAGAAAAAAATCTTAAATGTTTTTCGATTATGATAGATACAATGATACTAACCATGCTTCAATAATATACATATGAAATTATTATTAGCTTTACGACCAAAATTAGCGAAAGTATTTCAAAACGAATTTAGAAATTTAAATCACAATATAGTACCTGAGTAAAATTTGAAATTATATCGCCAAATTTAAAAACAAATAAAATTTTTGACTTAAATTGTGGCATTTAAAATAAAAGGCATTATTTAATTTCTTTCAAATTTCCAGAGGCTTTGCGATAACATCAATTATCTATTTCTGCAAGTTTTGAATGTGCCGAAGTGATACATTTTGCATTAAATTCATTAAGCATAATGAGTATTTTATAAAGTGACATTTGTGCTCTATGAGAACCATTTAAAAATGGATGTATTTATAGGAATTGTACAGGTATAGAATTTTAATCAGCATTAACCGACTTTTGTTAATGTTAAAGGCATTCTTTTAATATATTTACGAAAACGGATGAGAATTCAAAATTACCAATATTATACTAGTAGTTTCTAATTAATCTTTACTATACTGGCACTTCCATAAGTAGCGAAAAGCAATGCATAAATATTTATCTTAAACTTTTTTAATGTTAATTCAAAGCTACTGCTAATAATTATTTAAATAATTATGCATTTAAAAACTCAAAGCTTTATACATTCTTCTTCGTCTTGCCCACAACTGACAATTCAACCCTGAGTGTACTTAAAAATCAACATATGCTAATCGGTAGCCCCGGTGACAACAACTCAGACTATATTTCATCGACAACGAATTGTAATCTCCTGTATGCTAACCCGAGGGAAAATGTAAATTATTTGCAATCTAGATTCCAAACGTCGATATATTTCCTCATTTTATCCTTTCCCAGATAAATCTAACAATGCTGATTTGGATAAGCCCTTTAATAAACGCTTCACACCTTGGGTGAAATTAGCCATATTTGATTAGATTTAGCAATTCTGTTCACTGCTTGTGTTTCTGCGAAGAGTGTTCCCGCACCAAAAGGAAAAGTGAGATGAGTCAGTTTCATAAGATTTAGAGCAACTTTTACCTGCTTTTTATCAATACTGGAATGCTTGAAAAATATTTGATAGCTTAAGAGAAGGTTATTTACATTAGAATTGCTATGGTTTTAATGCTATTTGGTTTTTAATGTTAAACCAAAAACCCATTATCATAATAATAATAGATCGTCCGTGAAAAGCGAAAAAGAAATTACATTTTATCATTGTACTTCAAATTTTAGTTCTAGGTTATCATTATAAAACCCGTAAAAATAATCAGCAGCTTTAAAATATCTTCTCTAGTTTTTGAAAATGGAATTTCGCGACATTGGAATGCCAATTTAGCGACGGTTCACTATAAACGGTCTATCACTTTTTAGATTGTTGCCACCAAATATTATTGCCCTGTATTATATTTGAAGAAATTAAATAATGGAGAATTTGTATGAATGTATGAATGCTTTCCAATTCTGAAAAAACGACGGCCATAAAATTTTGAATAGGAAACACGAATTTTGAATTTCGAATTTGGTTTATTATGTGTTTCATATTTTGTAAAACTTTAACGAATCTTTTTTTAACAAACGCAACGATTTTAAAGCCAGCAATGGCAACACTGAACGGAAAAGAAAACATTTTTATCCCCAGCGCGCTAGACTGTGTATCGGAAATTCTAAAGATCTGCTGTCATAAAGATATTTTGCGATATTGCTCTTGAATTGAATTTTATGTGGTTTAAATTCAAAGAAGATGATATTTAATAAATAATGGTAACACACAAAACTTTAAACCCTTTGGAGGTAAAATAAAATCTGAAAACTTTCTAACTTTTTTTTTAATTTTTTAAAAATTATTTTGAGAAGAAAATTTTCGCTGCAAATAGAAATCGATCCTTTAATAAACCAAAGAATAAATTCTTTGACTAAACCGTGCAGAACAAGTTCCTTCATTAATCCTACATTCTACTACAGTGTAGCTCATACTGAGCTATTTTGAAACAATATGTTTCCTTTAATAATATTTTCTAACAAGATTTGCTAAATTTTATACTCCTTATTTAATTGGATAATGTCGTTTTTAATCCGCATATTATGTATCTAAATGCTGCAGAATTTGTGCTTTCCTGTAATTTAACCCCTTAACTGCCGCGGGCGTATATATACGCCGCTGCTCAACTGCCGATGCAGCCGATGCGTTAACTTTGCGAATAATTTTAGGTGTTGTAGCAGCGCAAAGCAATGATAGCAGTTTGGAAGGACGTATATATACGCCTGGGGCAGTTAACGCATCGGCTGAGCAAGGCGTATATATACGCCCGCGGCAGTTAAGGGGTTAATGCCAGTATCAAAAATGAGACCTATTAGCTATTACTGACATCCAAAGTCTGTAATACTACACTAATGGCAGCTTGTGCATTACACTATAAATGGAATAGAGTTGCTAAATATTTTAAGAAGAGTAAGGAGGAATGCATTTTATGTATGTTAATTTTTACTTCAAAATTATAGTAGGTAATTATTCAATATAAATATTCAAAAATATGTTTAATTGTAACCATCCATTACAGTTACACTATATCTCAATCAGCCAAGGTTTAACAATATCAAAGATACGAATTTCGAATTCATAAAAGTTTTATCTTTACTACTTTACAAAAGTGAGACACCTTCATAATAGTGCCCTGTCATAAAGGTATCCGCATCATTATGCAGGTCAACCTCTTACGGGCACAATTAGGAGGGTACCCAGCTTAAAGAAGCTGTCATTCTTATGAAAGTCAGTCTCAAAAGTGTAAAAAGTAACTTTTCGGGAACGTTTGATCTCCTTTATTCCAGGACATCACCACTACGAATATAGACTGTTAGTTTGCTTTGATAACCTGTAGAGCAAACACAAATACGTGTTTTAAAACAGCGGTCATCAACCCTTAGAACTTCACGGACTATTAGATATATAATTTTATATTTGGCGGACCACTAATATGAATTAAAAAAAACCTTAAATCAAACCTTAAAAACAACATATTGTTACGCAAAAACAATATTCAACTTTCCAATACATGTAATTCTAATTTTCATTTGTTAATATAATTTTCGAAACATTTGGTGTTCAGCAGCATGCCTTTATGGAAATTCAGACTACGCCCCTGATTATGAGTAACAATTAACACATTATTAACCTATTAAAATCTCAATGATACACATATTTCGTTCACATTTAAAAATTATATGACAAGTACAAAAATTTTATCTTCCTGTACGGAAAGCTTCACATTTCCATATCACTGAAAAGGAACTTCACGAAAAATAAAAACAAACCGACAAACGCAAAGCAATATCAATAAACTGAAAGTGTTATGCCAGCAATTTGTAATCATTGTAAACATAATAATCATCGCTTACTCAGCAGTAGCGCCATCGATCAACAGTTAGACAAAACAAAAACGGAAACTTCCAGTGATACAATTATAAACAAGAATGCAGATGGTTCTCATAAAAATCCATCAAGTTGCTTATTGACACGGGGAAAAACTGTGTTCTTAACGACTACAATAGCATATGTTTGTAATTCAGAAGGAAAGAGAATTCCAGTCCGCTGTTATTGATAACAGCAGCATATTCATGGATGCCAACTCTCACTTTCAAATGTCGCTAGATACACCTGCAAAAGTAGTTAACAAGTCGCTAAATTCAAAGGGAGTTTCGCTAAAAGTAGAGCTAAAAATAAAAATGTATGATCCACATTCCATAATAAGTTTTGTTACTCGTCATTTTTTAAACTGAATCTTCATAAAAACATATATAATGTCCCAATTTTTCTGCGGACAAATCAAAACGTTTTCACGGACCACTGGTTGCCGACCACTGTTTTCAACTATCCGCACATATTACTGTTTACATTACTCTGGAATCTATTGGGCATGGATTCTTCATCAATTTCTTTAGCTTTTACAAGCATATTCTGTTTGGGGCATGACTTTCAAATGTTCGTTTTAACATTGTAATATTTCTCTTGCAGTTGCTCCATCAAAAATTACAATTGTGGGACCGACCGAAGGTAAAGTGGGCAATGTCATCACTATGTCGTGTTCAGCAGGACCTAGCAACCCTCCATCGCAACTGACATGGATTATTGACGGCAAAATTGTCCCTTCCACAGCATCTGACGTTGAAGTTTCGAAAGGAGGATGGCTCACTACTTCCAATATCACCGTCACTCTCACCAGGCAGGTAAATCCGATCGGGATTCCCAACCTTGGGTTTTATTTATATATAATTTATTATTTGATAACTTGCATATTATGCAGAAAGTATTCAATTATTTATTATCTTTCTCTCCGTTTGTAAAATGCAATAGATTTAAACATAATGTCAATATTTTTGCATACTTTGAGAGTACTTAAAATATGCGAGAAGTACCATAATCCATTATTCTGATATTAAAGTTTTTATGATGTTTTTACATTCACAATAATTTTCTCAGTCAATAAAAATTAGTTCCTAAAATTGAAGAAATTGGAATATTTTTTTCAGTGTTCCTGTATATGATTTTAAGATTTACATTTAACGTTTCACAGAACATTTCGCAATCAAATATCTGTATTACCATTTTAAAAAAAGAGTTCCTCCAAAAATGATGCAGTGACACGAATAAAGTATACATAACTAGTTAAAATTCCAAAATTTTTAATTGTAAGTTACAATATAAAATAAGTAAATTCTATAAACATAGTTGATGTATTTATATTAGATTAAAATTACCCTTAAAGTGGTCGGGCACTTTTGATGCCGTATTATGCATATACAGAATTATGTTCAATAAGAGGTGCATGTTTTAAAATCTAAAAAAAATATGATGATACGTACTATGATTTATTCGATTTATTTAATTATGGCTAAGCTCGCGAGGGCTATCTGCCTAAGGGGTGAGATGACATCGTGAAGGACTTTCTAAAGACAACTAGCTCGCATTCATGTTACACACACAGAGAACTCACGCATACGCCCATTCAGCCAGCCTATGAATTGAATGCAAAATTTTATGTTCTCTGTTGAAAAAATATTCAGTTTCAAGATCTGTCCAGTTCTTAGCGTTATTCTGTTGTAGATCGAAACCCATGTTTAACTATGGTCTCGCAGAGACTTCAGCAGTACACAACATCACATTCATCTACTAATTTCACGAACTTGAGGTTCCAAGAAAAGTTTGATAAAAAAGACCTGCTTAGGGTTAGAGGTTCGCATTAATGATTCTCCATAAGCTAAGAAATTTTTTCATATTAAGTTCAATGAGTTATGCAACTCGTACATTTTCTTTAAAATTAACAACTAATGATTATTAAATTACCAGCAATTGCAATTATTTGTATTGTAAGTATTTCTTTCAGTACAGATGAATTATTTTGTTAACTGGGATGAAACAGAAAGTTAAAGAAGCTACGTTCAGAAGCAACTTTGTTGAAAAAAATATATATGTATGCTCCAAGCATTAAGAGATGCATTATTTTTACTTCACTTCAAGTTACTACATTACTTTTGCAAAATTCGAAAATCCCTAAATGGTTTAGCCCTATGACATATTTTGCATTTTCAACCACTTTTCAAGCATTATTCTGCTTATTGCGTCATTTGAGCTTGTAATTATATTATACTACTTTCTTTTATAGTATTTATTTCCGACATTTACTTACGCAACATATTTCCTTTAAACAGCCAAGTTTCGAGAAAATACTAGAACTTGAAAGCATTTGCACTGCTTTTACTCGAGCTCTCCAGTGCAACACTAAAGAGTTGCAATCTAAAAAGCCAGCTCTCTTTTTCAAAATGCAACCGATCCTTAGAATTATTTACTTTTAAGCGACAGTATTAAACTAGATTGGTTTAGTTACCTAAAGTGCATATATATCTACTTTAAGATAGAAAGGATAGGATGTTTTCGTGGACCAAAGTTTAAGAGAAATTGTCTCGCATTCGCGTGGCACATTCGAAAAAACCAAAACTCTCATGCAGCTAGCCCATTCGCCATCTATCGAGCTCTAGATTACCAAACATCGACAGTGGTCTATGTGATTCAGAAGTGGAAGGTGAGTGGTGATTGTCGGAATGTGCCTTCAGTCGGCAGACCCAAAAACTGGAAAATGGAGACCGATGGGTGATGTCAACATAAATTCGGAAGATCCACACCCAACCGCTCGCCGACATGCTCCAGGTGTTTCAACAAGCATTTGGGAGTAATATTTTGGTGAATATCATCTGTAAGAAAGCACATCTGCTTGGTTTCATGATCGTGCTGCCTTTGATCTCGAAGTTAAATCACGCTGCCCGGTTAATGTGGAGCAAACCACGGTGACCGTAGACCGTAGATCAGTGGAAACGGGTTCTCTGGAGTGACGGATCAAAGTTCACCATCTACCGTTTGCATGGCAAGGTTTGGGCTTGGCATCTGCCTGGAGAATACCTACTGACAAAATACATTGTGCCCTTGTAAAGTTCAGCGAAGATTAATTTATGGTCTGAGTGTGTTTTTTTTTGGGGGGGGAATGGACTGAGACCTTTGGTCCAATTTTCTGATACGTTCAACGCCGACACTTGACTGCACTAGTCCGTATGGCAGTTTTACGAGCTGGATCCATGTTACCTTCAGGACGACAGCCCCAGCCGTCATATTGCGAAGTTCACCATGGATTGGTATAGTGGCAATGAGTTTAATCGAATGGACTGGTCTGCTCAGCGCACAGACCTGAATCCAATCAAGAACTTCTTGCACGAGTTGGATTTCCGAATTAAGACGTGCAACAAACGTCCAACGTCATTTACATGTCTTCTCTAAGCCGATTGAAAGTAAATGCCAATAATCGTACTACAAGGGCTTATGGAAAGCATGCCTCAGAAGATTGAGGCTGTAACTGCTGCTTGTGGAAGCTCTACCAACTATTGAATACGAAAACATTTTGTTTTTCTTTTCAATCACAGCTGTTTAAATGCTTATTGGTAGAAAGTGTAATAGCTGTGAGAGTAATAAATATCGTTATTATCAAACTAAGCATGCAAAAATTTACAGAAATCGATAGCTGAAAATGGAAGATTTAAAGGAGATATTCATCACAGCGAAATTATTTGTGAAAATAAAAAATGGTCATGAAACGGTAACTAAAGTGAGTTTAAGTATAGCTTATTTATAAGATACGATAGAAAAACCATTTACTGATGGTACATTAACTAAACTACATTTACTTGTGGTATCCAAAGAAATGTGCCCTCTGATAATGGATTTGTTTCGATCTGCCATACTTTAAGCGAGAACAACTCTTAGATGAGCTGAGGCCATTGGAACCCATATCAAGAATCAATATAAAGGCAAGGTATAAAAATGTCAAAGGTTTTCTTTGGCTCTTAATGAGTCAATAGACATTACCGATACTGCTTAATTTCTGCTGTTTATTATTCGAAGAGTCGACATTGATTTTGTGGTGAACGAAGTAATATCATTTATGAATAGGCTGCGTGGAACAATTAAAATGGAAGGTATCATTAAAGAAGTCAAAGAAATGTCAACACAGTATAATTTGCTTCGGAATTATTTAAATCGTTTCACAACTGATGATAAAAACATGTGTGGAATGCGGAAGGATTATTTGGGCAAATTTTTAATTTAAGGTCTGAGGATGTTTCTTCTGGTAGGGAGTGGGACCCTTAATCCAAATTCCTGATGCTCTCAACGCTATTTATAAAGAAGCTCAGAATATGTGGTAAATCCTTGTAATATTAACCAGCAGGCTCTTTGCGAGAAACACATTATGTCACGGATTATTGAGCCAGATGTGTCAGCAGTTAACTATATTCTCTCACATGGAATCCTGAATTTTGTGATTTTTTATAAGCGATCGAAGCTGAATATCCTTATTAGCCCTACCACACAACAGTTCGATGGGTTAGCAATGGCAAAGCTTTATAGAGATTTTTAAAAGTCTGAGAAATAACAGAGTATTTTCTAAATAGAAAATCTGCTCAATTATTATAGAATAATAAATGGCTATGGAAATAATCTTAGACGCCTTATAATATTTTAACCAATTAAAATTTCTGGGCAACAAACGTATTCTATTTTCAATAAGTCATATCGCTGAAAATTTGCGCTATTCAAAAATCATATCAAATTAAATAAGTTCTATCATTATCCTTTCTGTACAAATTTTCAAATATTAAGGAAATCTCCGTTCCCAAAAAACTCTGCATCGGATATATTTTCTGAAGTTAAATTACAATTACAACAGTACTTTTCGAATTTCGAGGCAAGTGCAAAAACGACATGACCTCTCAGACCTTCAGTTAGAAGGGATTGATCTGCAAAATGATGATACGATAAAATGATCTTTAAAAGCAATGTATATAATTTAATTCTGTAAATATCTTTGGTAGATAAATACGTTCAATTAAAATTTTATGCAGGGTGATTTACTCGTATACACTGAAGTGACAAAAGTCATGGGATAGCAATATGCAAATATACAGATGGCAGTAGTATCGAGTAGAAAATGAATAAATGCGAAGTGCTTTGGCAGGGCTTTCATTTGTGTTCAAGTTATTCATGTGAAGAGGCTTTGACGTGATTATGGCCGCATGACGAGAACTAACAGACTTTGAACGCGGAATGGTAGTTGGAGCTAGACGCATGGGTCATTCCATTTCGGATATCGTTAAAGAATTCAACATTCCGAGATCTACAGTGTCAAGAGTGTGCCGAGAGTATCCAATTTCAGGCATAACATCCCACCATGGACAGCACAGTGGCCGACCACCTGTACTTAACGACCGAGACCAGCGACGTCTGCGTAGAGTTGTCAATGTTCACAGACAAGAAACACTGCGTCAAATAACCGCAGAAATCAATCTGGGACGTACGAGGGACGTGTCCGATAGGACAGTGCAGCGAAATTTGTCTTCCTTGGGCTATGCCAGCAGAAGACCGACTCGAGTGCCTTTACTGACAGCACGACATCGCCTGCAGCGACTCTTGTGGGCTCGTGAGCATATCGGTTGGTCCCTAAACGAATGGAAAACCGTGCCTTGGTCAGTTGAGTCACGATTTCAGTTGGTAAGAGCTGATGGTAGGGTTCGAGTGTGGCGAGACCCCACGAAGCCACGGACCCAAGTTGTCAACAAGGCACTGTTCAAGCTGGTGGTGGTTCCATAATGGTCTGGGCTGTTTTTACATGGCATGGACTCGGTCCTCTGGTGCAACTGAACCGATCATTGACTGGAAATGGATACCTTCAGCTACTTGGAGATCACTTACAGCCATTCATGGACTTCACGTACTCAAACAACGATGGGATTTTTATGGATGATAATGCGCCATGTCACCGGACCACAATTGTTCGCGATTCGTTAGAAGAACATTCTGGACAATTCCAGCGAATGATCTGGCCACCTAGATCGCCCGACATGAATCCCATCGAACATTTATGGGACATCATCGAGAGGTTTGTTCGTGCCTAAAACCCTGCACCGTCAATACTTTCAGAACTATGGACGTCTGTAGAGGCAGCATGGCTCAGTATTCCTGCAGGGGACTTCCAACGACTTGTTGAGTCCATGCCACGTCGAGTTGCTGCTCTTCGCCGGGCAAAAGGAGGAGCGACAAAATATTAGGAGGTATACCATGACTTTTGTCACTTCAGTGTATATGTATTTAACATTTTAACAATATTTACTGATGTTGAATGACATTTTCCAAAATTAAGTATATTAGTTGCATACTTTATTAAAATTACCCTTTGCAACTACGTTAATGACAGGAAGCACTAACTTCGATTTCGAATGTGATTAAATATTATCCCAGAAAAAAAATTACGTTCGTCAAATTAATAAAAAAATTCATTTGTCCTATGATACGTTTATTAATGAATAAAAATAGTTTTTTTGGAAAAATGTCAGCAAAATGTATATAAATATTATGTAAAAAAAATTCACTTTTTAAAAAGGGTTTTTGAGTTTTTTCTTTCTTTTTTTTTGATGATGTACACTGTAAGAAAAAATTGGCTCATTGAAATATTTAATTTGAGATTTTAGGCTTTGTCGAATTACATGCAGATATATTTACTTATTAAAAACATCAAAAACCTATGTTTAAGTTGCGATTGGGTTTAGATGATTATGGCAAAGGTTATCTGCCTAAGAAGAGGGATGCCTTTTTGGAGAAATTTCTGAAACAATCCGGCTAGTGTACACGTTACACTTGGTGAAAACCACGAAAACGTCCATGCGATCAGCCCGTTCTCCGGGATTCGAATCCCGAACCGAATTACTAGTGTTCAGCGACTTTATAAGCTCAGATACTGCTAGGAAATTTATGTTTCGATTTGCATAAAAACATTGCAAAAAACATAGCAATTAAAGATAAATTAGAAATAATCCATGTTTATAAAAATTTATAATCACCGTGGTTAACCATAAACATAATCGCATGCTATTGACAAGATATATTATGTCCAAAGTTTCTATTTTAGCATTTCTCTTGGTAAACTTTAAATTCAATCCAAGATGGGATGAAGAAAAGAATTTGAACGTCTAACATCTAGAAATCAAAGACCTCTCCAATTTGAAGATTTAGACAAATAATAAGCAACAACATTCGAGTTCTAATAAAACTTCTAAAATTCATTTCTTTAATCAAAGTAGCATATGCACCCGATTTAAAATAAATAGTATGTAAGTAAATAAAAGTCAGAATCAAAGAGAAATCATAGAATCATAAAAATCTGTTCATTAAGTACATCATTTTATAACCAATTTCCAAGAATGTTGTAATATTTATACAATATTCGCCATTGTTTATAATCTATCTCCTTCGCAGAAAGTTTGTGAATATTTTGCAGTTTTTTATGGTTTTGTACATTGATTTAAAATAGCCTTAATTTATTTTCTTTCAAATGCTAGATTTCGATTTAGTTTCATTCCTTGAGATACTGAGTATCCGTATTCTTCAGCATCTAATTAAACCTTTGCTAACAAAAGTAGTTTCACATCTTGCTAATACATTCCGTTAAGGATTTGCTTGAACCTTTAAATTTGCATCAAGTTCTGAAACATGTAATCTTCTTTTCCTTCATTACCGGCCTTTAGGTTTCAGTTGTATCACCTTACATCTTTAATTATAAACCTGTGGATTAAATTTCAACCATCGTAATAATATAGAATGCATACATCATGCAAAGCTTCTTCGTTGAGATTCTAACTGAATAAATATTCTAGCCTGCAAGTTATTTGAATTTATATTCTATAATCTGGAATATGCTATCTTTACAATTTTATAACTATCACATATGCGTATGTTTCTGTAGTAAGAATTACTTTTCATTTCGATATTAGATGGTTGTTCTCTTGAGTCACTGAATTTTTAATGACTTTTCATTATACGCATACATAAATTATCTGAAATGCTTTCTTCACTTATTTTTTTAGGATCCTGACAACAAGACTTTCGCATGCCATGCGGACAGCGATGCATTAAAAGAAACAATCAAAGAGACTGTGTCATTCAGTGTGGTTTGTAAGTATATCTATGGTTTGCTGTTGTTGTCTTGTCCATATTACATGGGAAAATGGTTTCCAGAGCCTATTCCGAAGAGAGGTTGGACTTCTATTTTCCAACTCCCAGTTTTTAACGAAAGCGTACCCCGTGGGGATCCGGGAGTCTCTCACTTCTCCCCCTTCTACCAATCCACACGAGAGGACTTTCGACTCGCAGCGTATTTAGAGTACCGCCATGCCGCACTGACACTCTACATTTACAAACATTCATGTCTTCTCTGAGATTCTAACCTGGGCCCTTTGGTACCATAGTAGGCTCCCCTAACCACTATACCGTCTTGATGACTATCTAGACGGTATAGTGCCTTCAGAAATAGACGGTCTAGACGGTATAGTGGCTATCTAGACCGTCTGGATGACTATCGTATGGCTTCAGAAACGTAATCCCAAGTACATGTAGCTTTATAGTGCAAACTGCATACCGTATTCTCACTTTGATCGTTTATACGTTTATAAGTCAGGTAAAAATGCTTATTATAGTCCCAAGTACAGATAGCTTTATATCCCAAGTACATATAGCTTTATACAAATACATATAGCAAACTGCATACCGTGTTGTCACTTTGATCGCAAGTCAGGTAAAAATGCTTATTTTGCTTTACTTTCAGATATTATTTCCCGTTTCTAAGCCTCTGAATAAGTTCACCTTCACGTTTAAGTTCATGTTTTCTATAACAAATGGTAAATGTTACTTTGTACTTTTATGGGGAAAATTCTGCTTTGTATGCATGCAATATATTTATTTTATGTTGCAGAAGCAATGAAATTTTATGCTTTATAGTTGCATTATTTAAAAGAGTTCTGAAAATAGCAACCTTTCAAATAAATGAATAAGATACTCATGCCATAAAACGAACCTACGTATCCCGAAATAAAAAGCAAAAAAGTTATTTATTTCTTACGATAAACATTTCTCTCCCCCCTTTTTTTACAAATGCTCATTCATTTATTTCAAGAGTAAAGAACCTCAGAAATTCAATATGTTCTGATCTGTATCTTATTTCTAATAATAGGATCTATTATCATAATTTCTAGTAATAGGATGATTTACTTTTCATTCATAATACACTAATTATACTAAAATTTTAGTGTGTTTATAATACACTAAAATTTAAATTTAGTAGAAAAAACCTAGCAAATATATGAAAAACCACTAAAGCAGCACTATAATCAATATAAAATTTAAACCAGTTAAAGTTAATGGTAAATTCCAGACTTAAAAAAGATGAAACGAAAGAAGTGGAACGTAGTTGATACTAAGACAAATGACCGTCAAAACGTTATAGCAAGAACGAAAGATTTAACGTGGATTTTTTTGGTTGTAGAATTACATAAAATACTGCAATTGCGACTTCGCGTCATTTAAAATATTTTCACTTGCTTATTTCGATTCCTAATTCGATTTGTGTACGTGTGACAGTACATGGTTATCAGTGCAGCTATTTTGTCTGCACAAATTTTCGAATCTTTCCCAGAATCCGCTTGAAATGTAGAATGTCTGTTGGCATATCGTCCTTACCAAGCCAAAACGATGAATCTGTAAAATCTTTATTTCAACGAAAGCGAGAGATAAAATTTTGCTCACAGTTTTGTTTCGAAAATGGCATCTGAAAACTAATTCTTTAATAATCGTCTATATGGCTCTCTTTTCGCATGATGTAAAATATTGAAAAATTGCTTAGAAAATCCATGTAAATGGAAATTGCAAAAAATGTGCATAATTTAGGTTTGACATAAAACATGAAAACTTAGGTTTGACATGTTGATTTTTTTTTTTTTTTTTTTTTTTTTTTTGTTTTGTCAATTTTATCACATCTTACGTATTTTAAACAATTTAGCGATTTTTCCTATAGAACTCAACTGATGTATTATTTCTATAACTGTGTCCTTAAAAACATTTCAATTCTTCTGCATTGTTCTTTCGGTCTTTTCTAACAGACTGGGATTTTGGGTGCATTTTCATCCACACGGTTTACAGAGACCTTCCCAATTGTTACGTGTAAAATTCGGTAGATACTTCTTAAAAAGAACGGGATGTAATGAGAATGTAAACGATTAATAATATTATCAAATAAGTATATATGAATATAAGTGGGGAAAAAAGTTTCGGTACATTTAGAATAATTTTCTGTTTTTTAACCTGTGAGTTCAATAGCATTTTCAAATAGTTAACAAACAGCTTATACAAATCCTTAAATGATTAGAATTAATATGTAAAGAAATACAGATTGTAGTCTCCGTTTTCAGTATATCTTGTATATATATATATATATATATATATATAGTAGTTGTATTTTTGTTTATATTTTCCCTGCAAGTCGCAAACGTTTCTTTGAAATCTTAGTACAGGGTACAGTGCTCCACTGCTACGTCTTTCAAGGGACCATTCACAAACGACATATAAATGAGAAAGACTTATAAACGGAATTTTAATTTAAGATATGAAACAAATACATATTAGCTTCACAATTTTGATACTACTCACCTGCTTCTTATATTACACGATTTTATTATAGCATAGGAATGCAAATTTGTGTATGTAATTATGTAAAACTGAAAAAAAAGTTATGCCTTTATTTGAATTACCATCTTGAATAAGTAACACCTTTAAATTTATGCAGCCATTCAATTAAAAGCAGGCTGCCTTCGCATTTATTTGAAGTGCTATTTCTTTGGACTTCTCAATTAACATGAGGCCATTCACTAGAATATTGGATGCTAGAATAATATTGGATAATATTGGATATTTAAAGAATAGAATAATATTGGATATTGATTTATAAATGTGCTATAAAAAATGAATTTTGTTAAATGGAAAATGTTTTTAATTAAATTTTTGCTTTATTTGTTTTCCTATTATTATTATTTTTACAAAAATATGCAGTCTTTCAGTTGATGTATTGATGAATGTTCTAAATATTTGGCATGAAACTGCTTTATTTAATTTTTAAATTACAGCTTTCAATGTGTAGCACTTTCCTTATTTTCCTTGGTAAATTATGATTTAACTAAATCGTGTTCCTGCTTAGCACGAGACAGTGACAAATCTTAGCTAAATAACTTCCACCTGAAGCAATTTTCCATAACATGCAATTTCTTTGAAGAAGACAGTTCACAAATTGATACTCTTTATATAGCTTTTTTCTATCATAAGTAACCGTTTCAATTGCTCTCACAGGAATATCCATTTTCTTTGCTAATTCAACTTTCTTCAAACCATTATTCTTATCAAATTCTTTTTAAGATTTGAATTTAATTTTTTAATTAAAGTGTGCCTTTCGATTTCATCACACTTTGCATCAGTTAATTTTGCTCATAGTTGAATTAATACAATGTCTTGTTTGGAAGAAAAACCTGTGTGTATTTGACAAGTAACCCATTTATTAATATGTTTTCAACTCCTATACCAGATTGTGATGTCTCATATGTCTTTGTTTCTCTCTCCTGTCTCCATCCTCCATTCTTGATGAAAATACTTGAACTGGGCGACTGCGAAATGTAACGATGTATAAATGTATAAAAGACGTACATATGAGAAATGTACAGAGAGGTTATAATTAAAGTGACCCTATTCAGACCCCTCTATAACTTATTAAATTTTGATGAAATTTGTATATATGATACCAAATTTCATCAAAATTCAATAATGCAGAAATCGTTTTCCCATGATGGACCATGGGAAAACAATTTCTGCAACAAAAAAAAATAGTTCGACATGGGCCCTTTTTGCAATCCCTTTAAACGACGATATTGCAGCTAATCTATTGCTGCCGTTCTGATAAAACAGTTTTGATAGTAAAGTTCGATCTTTCTGCTGTAAGAGCATGGTTATCGATGACAAAGGCACGCAGAATCTTTTTCTGGCTCTGTATGCAAGTCTCTTTATAGGTTTGACTAATTTGCATAAGGAATTTTTGAAAATTGCCATGAAAATTGCCATCTGGTGTTCAAAATTTGCACTTTTTTTTTTCATAAAAAGTTTCATAAAAATCCGATAGGCAGAACGGGTTCTACAGCGGTCTGAATAGGGTCACTTTAATTATAACCACCCTGTATAAGGATGCTGCATTGTAGTTCATTTTTATTACATTCTTGGTTAGGTTAGCTGATTTGAATGCTGCAGAACACACAAGAACTATCTTTCTAGGGAAAGGATGCTTTCGTGGAGAATTCCTGTTACACATGAGGAAAAGCACGAAAAATCAACCATGCAGCCAGCCTGTCCGCCTAGTATCAAACCCAGATCGAATTTTCAGCATTCAGTGGTCTTAATCTTTATATGATGACGCCTTGATTGTTGGTGGGGCTATTTTATTACTTATAAATTATTATAATAATTTGAAATACCGTATTTACACGAATCTAATGCGCATCGTTTTTGGCCAAATGTAGTACTCAAAATTGGGGTGCGCATTAGATTCGATGGCGCATTAGATTCGAGTGCAAAGTTCGCCGATGACGTCAGCAGTTCGCCGATGACGTCAACCGAATTAAATCGTAACAATGGATTACTGTATTTCTCGACTACATTTACCGTTACATTTATCGTTGACACATTATTGCATAGAGGATACAAACTGCAGAGTACGTAGTCACGAGATGGAGAACAAGCTGAGAAGAATGTCATATGACGCTACTTTCAAACGTAAAGTAATTCTTTATCCTGAAAGAAATGGCAATAGAAAGGCTGGGAGAGAGTTAAACGTAGCTGAGAGCAATGTTCGCTTGTGGCGGCAACAGAAATTGGCACTGTTTGCAACTAAAACTAGTAGAAAGAAATTCACTGGCCCTCGCAAAAGAAGACACCCTAAAATTGAAGAAAAAGTTATGGAATTTGTACGTCAAAGGAGGAAGAATGGACAACCTGTGACTAGCCACACTATAAGAAATAAAGCAAAAGAGGAGGCTGAAGTTCTTGGAATACCGAAACGAGAGTTTAAAGCTAGCCGTCGATGGGTG